GTCATAGAGTATAAACACATAGGGTAGGGAAGGCACACCCAAGGGACTCAAGGAAATTTGGGGGGAGGGGGGAAGGGAAGAAAATATTAGAACTTTTAACCTAGTTTTTAAAAATCTCTATTTTGGGATATGTTTGTTAGCTTACATGTATTAGAAAAATACTGCATAAGTAGCTATGGATATTTGCAGAATGTACATGAATAAGATCAGAAGTTTCAAATCATAGAGAAAAGAAAATACCGATAAGCTAATTTTAAAAAAGTATTTAGCCTTCTTACTAAACAAAAGAATGCAAAAACAAGAAAAAAGAAAACATTCTCCATATGAAGTTAGTGAAGCTGTGTTTTTGTTGATTAGGACGTAACTCAAGCCCTGCCAATGAAAATATAAAATTGGGTAAAATCGTCTGAAAAGTGGCTGGGAAAAATGTGTCAAAAGGATTTTTTAATATTAATTTTTAAATACTAATTGTATTTGTTAACATTAGTAGCAATCATATTTACTAATACATCTGTTAATATTAATTTAGTTGTGTTAATCTACCAATATTAATTAAAATTAATGGCTTGTTAATTTAATAACTTTGGTTTAGAGCTGCCAGATTTAGCAAACTGCATGGGACATACTTATTAAAAAATTATTCATTGTTTATCTAAAATGCAAATTTAACTGAGCACCCTGTATTTTGTCTGTTAACACTACTTTCACTCTATAATTCTAATTTTAAGATCTTATCCTAAAGAAATATATAAGGACAAATCTTTCTGAAAGATAAATAATCTAAATGTCAGTATTTGAGACAGGCTCACGTAAGTTCAGGTACATCCAGGAAGGAACACAGTCATTGTAAGCTATACAGATGAGAATAAAAACCAGCCATTTTCTGTGCTATGGGTAGACAGAGTGTTTGTTGGGAAGACACTTCAATGAATCTCTTGATTATGTGATAAGGTCACGAGAGGAAGCATTTAAATAAGAAAGTGCTAAACTGCCTGGTAGCTTAATGGAAGTTTCAGGAAACAGCAGAGCAGAGTCTTCTAGGAGTTTCCCAGGTGCCCAAGTCCATGGTAACAGGCCAAGGACAGAGACAGTCAATAGTGATTCTCGTAGAGGGATGACGGCCGATGGACACAGGAGTGGGACATCCAGCACTTGACTTTCAGTTTTGTTTTCTGCATTGGGACAGCATATAGGTTCACCACTCCTGCAATTCTGAAACCCAAAATGCTCTGAAAGCCTCGAGATTTTTGTTGTCTTTAAAAAAATAATATTGGTGCCAAACTTACAGCAGAAAACCTGACCTGAACTGGAAGGAAACTTAGTTTCTCCTGATCTGACTTTATGGGGAAATTCCTAAGTTCTGCTGAGGTAATGTCAATGTGCTTCCCACCCTGCGTGTTCTAGAGATGGAGCGTGTACAACATATGTGCACTCTGATCTGTCTAGGTCCCATTGTAACAGGGTGGTCCCCAGGAAAGGGGGAGGTTCCAGGTTCCCTGCCCCACCCAAATGGAGGGTGGAGCTGAGCAGGAAGAGAAGAAGCTGCAGAGGAGACTGAGGAAGGAAGCAGGATGGAGCCAGAAGGAGACCTGGAGGAGGTACATGGAGCCTAGAGACACGTGAAGAAACTGCGCTTGTCTTTTGGTCGTGGACTGGGTGACACAGATGTGGGTGAGACCCGTGGGGAGGTGACAATGGCAGCTTTTATCTTGATTTTGATTTTGCTCTTTTCCTTCTGGGCTTGTCTGGTTGTTTCTGACCCTTTTCTGTGGGTCCCCATTGGAAGATGCTTTAGACCTGTGGCAGGCTTTGGGGCCTTGCTCTGGGCCAATCCCATTTGGATGGAGTTTTACCCACGAGGGGACGGGTAACTTTGGGTGCTTGATTTAGAAACTAGATTCTTTGCCTTTCCTGTATTGTTTCCTAATTGTATTAAAGTTCCTTCCCATTAAAGTCTCATGTTTTGTGTTAATGCAGCGGATGGCAGAACCCTATATAGAATAGGCAGGTTTTCGGGGTTTGGGCTGCCCCTCTCCCTGCACTGTAACACAATCACTCTGAGTTCCAAAACTTTGGAACCAGAGGTTTCAGAATGAGAGACTATGGACTTGCCATGTTCCTGCAGTGTCAATAATTTCCTTTCCTGTACATGCGTCAGTCGTGGATAATGAGAGGGGTCAGTGCCTATGTCCTGGATAAAGTGGAGAATAAAGAGTCACAGCTGACAGAGAGGTGAGCAGGAGATGGTCAGAGATGGCTGGGCAGAAGCCAGGACCAGCATCCTAGAGCCGGAAAGGACAGTAACAGCCAGAGAGTGCCCAGTGGACTCTGGGTTGACAAAAAGGGATGATGCCTTCTGTTGTGGGAGCAGAAAGAAAGCTAAAGACACACTCCCACTCTGAAACCCCCCTGCCAGCCTCATTTAGAAAAGTAAGAGCACAACAAGGGAACTCCTGTTGGTTATCAGCAGAAATCTGAGAGGCCCACCAAGGATATCCGCATTTGGGGGAAGAGATGAGGAATGTGTTTTCACACCTAAACCGCATCAAGAGTACCTGAGGCCCATTCAGCAGCCCCCCAAACCTCTGCCCCCCTCCTCCACCCAGATAGCATCTAGCTGTAGTAGTTTCCTGTGGCCAATGTAAAAATAAGCTTAATGACTTACAACAATGCAAATGTGTTATCTTGTGGTTCTAGAAGTTGGAAATCTGAAAGGGGTCTCCCTGGGCCAAAAGCAAGGTGCCAGCAGGGCTGCTTTCCTCTCTGAAGGCTCCAGGAGAGACTCTTTTTCAGGTTGGAGGAGCTGTCTGCATCCTGTGGCTCTTTCCCCCCCTTCAAAAATGCAAAAATAGATCTACCTTAGGACCCAGCCTCTCCTCTCCCAGGTATCTACCCTAAGGACACAAGAACACTAATTCTAGGGATAGATGCACACCTGTGCTGATTATAGCACTGTTTACAATAGCCAAGCCATGAGGAAGAAGATGTGATCAACATACACAATGAAATATTACTCAGCTATAAGAAAAAATGAAATCTTGCCATTTGGGATAACGTGGATGGAACTGGAGGGGATTTATGCTAAGCAAAATAAATCAAAAGGAGAAAGACAAATACTGGATAATTTTACTCATATGTAGAATAGAGAGAAACAAAACAAAGGGACAGAAAAACTGAAACAAAACAATTGAAGATACAATGAGGGTCAGGGAAAGGGGCCTAATGGACCAGGATGGGGATCATGGGGATGTGGTGGAGGCATGGTGTTAGAACAACCATCTGAAGAGGTGTGACCCTGTACCCCAAAATCATATACAGTATTGTTTTTTTTTTTTTTTTTTAGAGGCATGCTTTATTTATTTGTTTGCTGGTTTGTTTGTTTTGTTTATACATGCACTGGGTACAGTCAGAAGCGCGGGAGGGTGAGAGAATTCACCAGAGCCAGAGCGGGGAGCAGAGCAGGCAGAAGGACCAAAGGACACTGCTGAGGGGAGCAGCGGGCGGCAGGAGAGGTCTGCGCGCCATGTGGGACCCTCCTCCGGTGGCCGGGGAGCAGCCAGGGATCGAACCGGCGCCGCAGAGGCTGCGGGCAGCTTCGCAACCCAGCGCTCAACCGCTGCGCCACCGGGGAGGCCCATATACAGTATTGTTAACCATTGTTACCTCAATAAAAAAATACAGTAAAAATAATGACTAGAATCTAAAAATGAGTCCTCCCCTCACATCATCCTGACACTGACTCTTCTGCCTCCTCCTTCTATTTACAAGGACTCCAGGGATGACACTGGGTCTACCTGGGCTGCTCCTTTTAAACCTAGCTGACAAGCAGCCTCAGCTCCCACTGCTTCCTTCCCCTTTGCCATGTAAGGTAACATATTCACAGGTACTGGACATAGCCACAGCAATTAGTATGTGGCCTCTTCAGGAGGACAGTATTCACCCTACCACACTGGCATAGGTAGATTACAGAACACCAGGCAGACATCTGACATAATGAAAATATTGAATAACATAAAATGAGTATAATGGTGTGTTCTTCGGTGTGTAGGGGAAGGCATGGGATGAGACTACACTGACAGGCTCCTGAGCAGAAAGCAAGCTAGGGCATCTGGGATGTAACCTGCTAACCACAAATGGCTTAGGCTCTGGGCAAAAGTGTCTCAACCTCCTTGTTCTGTGGTTTCCAACCAACACTCTCCTTCTAATTTAGTGGTCCCGCTCCTGCCTACTCACCTCTCTGCATACTTCCCAATTCTGAGCCTGGTCTGCAAGTCTCTGGCTTTGGAAGACAGCACCCTGGCTTTCAGGCTCTGCTTAGATGAGCATAGTTTCCCTCTGCTTCCTCAGCCTTCCTCAGCCCTCAAATGGCTGCATTTCTGGAATGCAATGAACTAGTTCATAGCCTTCCTCAATGAACTAGCTCTTTGTCTACTTATTCTCAGGTACTATTAGTGTCTTAAAGTTGACTGGCTGGTCTCCACAAGGAAGAAAATGGGTAACCAAAGTCACACATTTATAGGTTTGTTTATTCATCTGCTTCTCTTAGAGAGAATCGAATAAGAGTTAAGGAAGCTGTATCCACTCTAGAGACAGCAAGTATTTCTAGGGTGCCCTCACCCTGGTTATTGTAAGAAACAAGGAGCCAAGGGTGCAACAGAGGTGAGAAGCCAGGAATTATAGGAATTATAAATTAGCAAGTTGTACATGTTATCCCTGGGGGGCAAATTGTCCATGTTTGTGCCTCTTGGGTTCTAGATCTCTCCTCAGGAGAGAGCAAATGGAGCACCCAAACAGGTTGATTGTGTAGCTGAAGTTGCTTGGCTGGGCTCTAGCCTCCCACTGGGAGGGACCAGCCAATGGGGTTGGCCAAAGCTGGATGGGAACCAAGAACAGACCAGAAGAAGCACAGTGGGAGTACCAGCCACAGGCAGTGGTGGCACCCATGGGCTCCATCATTACGTTCCCTAGTGGCTCCCCAAAAAGACCATGGGCCTACTTACCAAGCTCTCCCCAAACCACTCCTTTATGTAGGCAGCTGTGGGGCCTGGGATCTGGCTCAGGAGGGCTGCCCTCTCCTGAGGGTGCTCCAGCGTCTCCAGGGCCAGCCTCAAGTCCTCAACAAGATGCAGCACTGGGAAGGAGCTCATGCAGGAAGCTGGGGAAGCCAGTCCAGGCTCACAGGTACCATCGCTAATGTCTGCACCAGTTTTTGTGCCTGGAACAAGAGAGAAGCAGGAACCTTATTTAAAAGGGTGGATGCCATTTTCAAGGAACTGGCCAAAAAAAAAAAAAATACATCTTTAATCTTGGGTTGGGCATAAGAGGAAGAGACCTGTGAGGTGGACAATCCTCAGTGGAAACTCACACTTAGAAAACTAAGAAAACACAGCCAGTTCTCACCAGTGACCAAAAACAAGCTGGTTACAGCAATGAGATACCATTCTTCAGTTTTTCAATTAAAATGTGTTTGATTTTAAGTTTTAAAGTTAACGTGGTGGGCCTCCCTGGTGGCACAGCGGTTGAGCGCTGGGTTGCGAAGCTGCCCGCGGCCTCTATGGCGCCCGTTCGATCCCCGGTTGCTCCCCGGCCACCGGAGGAGGGTCCCACATGGCGCGCAGATCTCTCCTGCTGCCCGCTGCTCCCCTCAGCAGTGTACTTCGGTCCTTCTGCCTGCTCTGCTCCCGGCTCTGGCTCTGGTGAATTCTCTCACCCTCCCGCGCTTCTGACTGTGCCCAGTGCATGTATAAACAAACAAACAAACAAATAAATAAATAAGATAAAACATGCGTCTATATAAAAAAAAAACAATAAAGTTAACGTGGTAACTAAGTTTTTAAGTTAATGTGGTAGGCTACAGAGATGGCCAGCATAAGTTCCTCCCATCCCACCCCCCTGCTCACAAGGTGATTCCTGACTTGGGCCTGGCCTAGTGACTGGCTGGGATCAACAGAGAGCAGTCGAGTGACTGTGTGCCAGCTCCAGGCCTGGGCTGTAAGAGGCTTAACAACTTCCACGCTCCCACTCTTCATACTTAAATCACCACGTTACAAAGCCTAGTCACATGCTGGAGAGAGTGAGGCTGTTTTGGGTCTTCCAGCCCCAGATGAGCCACCGCAGCTGACACGGTTTGGTGAAGGGATGACAATTATTACACTCATTGTGCTGAGGGCTTAAAGAATTGGAATCTTTATAGATCATGGAGATATCTATATTCCCTTGTGGGTGTAGTGTACAAGGCTCCTTTCAAGTTAAACAAGAGCAGGATGCTTGATCGCCCTGGGGCAACAGGTATACCTAGGAATGACCAGGAATGCCCGGGAGACCCTTGACTGATATGATTTGCACCCCAGGGACTGATCAGTGGAACGCCTTGTTAATAAGATTGGAGCTGTGGGTGGGGCTTGGAGTACATCAGTGGACTCGCTCACCCTAAAGCCAAAAAATCCAATATTCAGTTTGACCCACCCTTTTCTCTGTCAATAAAGAGGCTAGGATCTTGCTCTTGAGCGGCATCCTGCACCCAACAGCCTGCTCCACAACTCCTGTTTCTTTTCTTTATCACTGCAGTGTTGCTTACACAACATCCCCTGATGTATTCACACTTCCAACTTGTGTTAATTACAATGTATATTCACATCTCATCTCCCCATTAGGGGCTGGGAAGTCTCCAATGTCAGCTTCCCCACCACAGCTGAGTTCCTAGCATTGTGACCTTTGCCCAGGAGACAAACATCTACACACCTGCTTGGATGGAGAGCTAAGAGGGAGAGTGCTTAGATTTCCTCAGAGAGCTGGGATATTGGGTCAGCGCTTCCTAATTGTACATGCCCCAAATAGGATTGTTTTTGTCTTTCTAAATCTCACCAGTTAAAAGGAAAAAAAAAAATTCCTCTTTGCATAATGACAGAGATATATTTTTCAAACCAATTCTAGGATGACACAGTCTTACCAAGGGATTCTGTGCTTCTTTCAGCAGTAAGAAACTTCATAAAATGTGGTTTACATGGTGGAACTGCTAGGGCATTTGAGTTGTTTATCAGGCCAACACGATAAATAATGTGAAATCAGGACTCTTGGAAAATGTGGGCTGTAAGGCTACCACATCCACAGCTACATGTCTTACTCTAGGCCCTCTGTTCTTCTGAGAGCCAGCTTCCTGCTTGCCACGGCAGTCTTTGGCATGAGAAATCCACACAGAAGGAAGCAATTACTATTTGATTGCCGGTTGGCTTTCCGAAAGTGCAGAATAGAGAGAATCATGGGTCACAATCCACAAACAAGTCAGAGGCTAGGGACTGTGATCACCCACACAATGACATGTGCTCTAAGTGCGAGGTGACTGGGAAGAGACAGTCACACTTTAGAGATGAAAATGGATGGAAGCAGGCAAGATTCCCCAATCTGCTGAGAATTACTGAGTAATTCCTCTCCATTCAGAACACACTCCAAAACACACACACACACACACCCCTTTATAAAAGTAGGGTGAGTCAAGCAGGGAGTAAGTAGGAAGAATAAGACTTTCACTAACTTTCTCCATGTAGTCATACACAAATCTCTTCCTTTCTCTGGGCCTCTCTGCCCAAAAGTCTTGGGATTCTTCCCTAAGCTTCAAAGAGTATGTACATGTGGGTCTATATGTTTGAGTACATGTGTGTCTGTGCCAAGTTTTATATGTAATGCATATATGGATAAATGCCTTTAAGTTCTATTTCTTGGCAACTAACATTTCTTTATCAAAATTAATAGTCAGTAAATACTAGATGGAGTGAAAATAGTATATGAGTGACAACATGTTCCTAAGAAAGATATAAGGGCAGTAACAGCAAAGCCCCAGATGACAAGTTCCCCTTGATTACAAATCTAAGAATTACATATGGTCATAGGACAGAAAACTAAAGGAAAAAGAAACATCTAAATACCACCCTTGGTCTTGAGGATGTAAAATGAGAAAATGCTGTTGGGTAGAAAGGCATCCGCAGAATAATACGCTGAGCCTAAATTTCCTCTCCTAGAAGAATGCGGTGACCTACCTCCAATAGGCCCCTAATGACCCACCCTTGACATTCCTGCAATTATTCAGTTCCCCTCCTGTGTCTTATCAAGATTGCTCTGAGTGACCACTAGAATATGTCATAAGTGATGGGTGTCACTTCCAAGGTTAGAGCATAAAAGCACTGTCACTTGCCATGTTCTCTCTCAGATCACTCAGGTTGGGAGAAGCCTGCTGCCACACTGTAAAGACACCCAAATATACCATGGGAAAGTCCACATGGCGAGGACCTACGGCCACCTATAACAGCTGTCCAGGAGTTAAGCCCTTCTGCCAACAGTCATGTGAAAGGACAATCTCAAAGCAGCTCCTCCAGCCCCCAGCAAATCTTAGGTTAACAGTAGCTCTGGTTGAATTCTTAATGTAACCTCATGAAATATCTTGAGCCAAAACCACCAGCTAAGCCACTCCTAAATTCTTAGACCACAGAAGCTGAGAAATAATAAATGTTTATTATTGGGGTCATTTGTTATAAAGCGATAAACAATATAAATAGCTAAGAACATTCTGCATGTGTAATCAAGGGGAACTTGTCCATGCACCACTAAAATATGCGGCTAAAATTACTTCTATTACAAAAAAATGAGATCTTTGTTTTATATATCATACAACAAAAATAAAATTTAGACAGTTAAGTATTATATGTGAAAACTTAAACTATAAAATAAATAGAGAAGGTAGATCAAAATTGAGTTAGAGAAATATTTAATAAGGACAAGAACAATCAAGCAAGACATAAGAAATCTGACTATAAAATATTAACTTCTAGAATATTAAAAACAAAAGACAAATTACAGCCTAAAAAAACATTGTAGAAAAAAAAAAAGAAATCTTACATTAATAATAAAAATGCCCCAAACCACAAAAATGGATAAAAACTTCTATAGGGGCAATTATCAAGGATAATTAAAAACCCAAAACACAAGCAGACAATAAAAATATGGTAAGAAAATATTTTCTTACTAGCAAATAAACAATTTTTAATGATAATTCGTTTTTTCACCTACTTGTTGAAGTTGAAAATGCAATAATAGTCTATATATTTGAAAATTGTGGAAGGAGTAGATGGTAAAAGTTCTCAACACAAGAAGAAAAACTTGTAACTGGATGTTAACTACACTTGCTATAGTGATCATTTTGCAACATATACAAACATCAAGCCATGATGTGTCATACACCTGAAACTAGTAAATGTTCGATGTCAGTTAGGCCTCATTTTTTAGATCAAAGGAATACAATATTCAATGCTGGCAAGCAGGAGGTGAGAAAGTTACCCTCACATGCTGTTAACAGACAAAAAATTTATCTAACCAATACTGAAAAGACAATTTGGCAAGATGTGGCAAAAATACTTATACCTTTAACTTGGCAATTTCAATTCCAGAAATCTAGTCAAAGGAAATGTAACCAGACATGTTGTCAAGATTAACATACAAAAAATGGTCTCAGCAGTGTCATTAATTGCAAAAAAGTAGGTGGGGGGGAATCTCAAATAGGGAAGAGTCAGAGAATATAACTCATGTAGGTCAATTGTCCAGCGATTCAGTAACAGGGAACTACTTCTACTATTCAGTAACAAGAAAATTAGAATTAAGACATAAATATGGATGCATGTGTATATATAAACCAACACACAGCATGCTGAAAGTAAGTGATATGAATCAGGCACGTGGCCTGCATGGCCCCCCCATGGGTCCTACTGAGGCTTGAAAGCCCTCAGGATGCTGACAACATGGGAGTCAGTCCTCCTGGGGCAGTAAATAAGTGACTAACAGCTCACAGGTTTTCTCCTTGATCAGATTTCCTCCTGGCAGGAACTGCACACTGAAGGGTGGTGGGGGACTGCAGGTATTTTCACAGGACAATCACTTTAGGAAATCTCAGAAAGGAGTCCCTTTCCCCCACAGTGAACAAGTAGAAAAGCTGGAAAAGATAACAACTTTTTTTTTTTTTAACATACAGCCAAGCTTGAAAGAAAATTAAAAGCTTCGATGGGTGTCAGAAACAATGAGGGAACTCAATGTGAAGTAAGGTCAAGCTGACCCTAGAGCAGGCCAGACCCAGATACAGGACATGGTGCTGCAGACTGAGGTTTTAATGCTCCCATTGAAAACAGTAGGCTCAAGTGAGGACTGGAGGGAGGGAGGGAGGGAGGGAGGGGCTGGGGAGAGAGGGAAAGACACAGAGAGAGAGAGAGAAACCTCAAGTATTGTCTTTTTCAGGAAGAAAGATCTGAAAATACCCCTGTGGCAGGGAATGATGTAAAAAGCTGGGAGCCCCCCTGCATTTTAGAAAACTATGTGTACACATACACCCTGTGAGAAATCAAGCTCAGGCCTCTGCATGCCACAGATAAAATGTCAAGTTTCCACTCTGCACTTAATACTAAAATCCTAAACCAGAAGTTAACACACAGTGCAAAGTGGTTTAGCATGATGAAACTCGTAAGGCCTCAGCAAAAAAAAAAAAAAAAAAATAAACGCAAAGGCAAAATTGTCCAGAGGGCTTGGTTGTGCATTGTGTATACATTCCGTGCAGATGACTGCCTCCAGTGAAAAATTATAACCACAAAGGAAAACAAATCAAAATGGAATACTAGATGCAACAAATAAGCAAATGTATATCCTTATAGCTAGGATTATTAGCAAAACAACATAAAAGAAACAAAAACTTACTGTTAGATATGCCTAAATATAAGGCAAGCTGTTGACCCCTCAAAATTACTTTTCAGAAAAGAGCAATTCGCTTGTACTCAAGTTCTAATAAAGTTTCTCTTTGAAGGCATTCTCCATACATCTTTATTTTGAAGACCAAAGCACTCCGTAGGGAAGATTAACACAGAGTGTTTCAATTTTACATGCACATTGAAATCATGTGGGGAGTTTTTACAACTATGATGCCTGGGTTCCACCTCCAGAGCGTTCTAATTGAGTTGGCCTGAGGTGTGCCCTGGGAGAGTAAGAAACTTTCCAGATGTTTCTCATGTGTAACCTAAGTCGAAGCCATTGCATTCACAAATCACTTCAGTCAATGCTATATTTTGATGTTTAGAATTTTCATTTTAAGGTTGCAAAAGCAAAATTTAATACAGATTTAGTATATGGGCTGTAGGGAAAATGGAGTTAAAATCAGGCTTTTTTCCGCCCTCCCACTGCTAGCTTCTTAGGGCTACCACCTGCAGTCTTATACTCCTCCTAAGTTGCGTGGGTGTCCTGGCCAAGAGGCGTGTGCTCAGGGTACGCTCACCTATGATTATGGACATCTGGACCCAGAGAGCACCAGGCATGTTCATACGTGAGAGCGGACACCTGTGCCCAGAAGCTAGGGATGCACAGTGGCGTCACTCTGAGGTTGGGGAGGGCTCAGTTGCTGCCTTCCTGCCAGCTGGTCTGTCCTCTGATTCAGCATTAAAAGCCTGTAAAGTGATAGTGAGGGCTCCAAAATTCTCTTTTCATCTGCAGGAATCGGCAATGAACTGACCCAGCCTGGGATGGTTGCACAACTAAAATATTAGTATAGGATTTTACTGAAAGCCTTTATTGATCTTTTAATATATATATATATGTGGTAGTAATTAGGGTTATGCAGAAATATGCTGGCTCTCCTCATCTTGAACTTAGGTAAGCTTATACTGGAAGTTACTCATGGCCACATAATTTCTTTTGGCCAATAAATATGAGAAGTGACATGTACACGATTCCACAGACCTTTTACCCCTGCCCTGGCCTCTGGCAATGGTGGAGGCCAAATCACCCTGTTTCCCAGAGTCATGATGACAGGCAGGGAGCAACGGCAGGTCTGGGGGAAACTTGTCATGCAAGCAAGAAATAACCTTCGCTGTTACAAGCTACTGACATTTAGGACTATTTGTTACTACATCATACTTTAGCCTATTTTTACTTTTCATACTTTAGCCTATACATGCTTTACATCTCAGAAATATATACATGTCAGAAAAAGGTGCAGACATTGCCTCTTTTTTAGCTATCATAAAGCAGATTCCTTTTAACAATTTGGGATCAATGAGTACAGCTTGCAGAAATCTGCCTGAGTAATCTCCTGCCACAGCAAAGAGGAATAAGTGTCCTGACTACAGGGTCCTCTGGTCCTGTTATAGAAGTGGCCTTCCAGAGCTGCCTCTGAACCTGTCAGCCCACACATTAAGCCGCATGCAAAATCAGAGCATGTGGCAATTGTTCTGGGCTATCCAGAAGGATATAATTAAGCAATGTATTTTCAATTTCAATTCTCAACTGTGCATTTCAATTATAGTTGACTCACAGGAACGAAGAGGAAGAAGGCCAGATCACAGGTTAATAGCCTACTAGAATTTACAAAGTTCTTTTGACAAGGTTCTGGTGTCCTGAAACAGTCAATCCCCTCTTTCCCACTTAGTGGCATAAAATTCAAGGGGTCCTAGTCAAGTACAGTCACATTTGAGAAACCCCCATTCAGGTTGCAAGATTCAACTTTATAAGGAGTTTCATCTCTTCACAGGCATTTTTTTTTCTTGCACCCACCCCAGAGCCACCAAGTGCCTGGACATGAGTCCATACATGGTGGCTCCGGAGGGGCCCCCTTGGCACCTGTGCATTAGGCCATCCTTGTGTAGTCTGTACTCCTGACTGGCTAACAGGAGAAGATAATCCCCTTTGTTGTTTGTGCTGCTGACAATGATTCGAGGAAGGGGATACCTTTTTTGCAGTAGAGGCTAAATTATATAAACATTATCACATGCCCTAAATGTGCTCTTTTGGGAAGAGCTTTGGAACGTGAAGAGTAGCCTACCATACCATGGAGAAATTTATAAATGTTATTTAGTGGTGTAATTATTAATTATTATTATTGAAGTAACTGCCCATTTTAGTAGGAATCCATGTTGGTCTTGCATAAATAGCAGCTATTTGGCGTGTGCGGTGGTGCTATTTGGTAGTGTTGGTGGAACTACATGACATCATTCTACTTCAAATTAGGAAGAGAATATAAAAAAGATTTCAATGTTGCAGAAAAACGTATTTTTGCAGGATCTGTGGCATCATGATTTCATGCCACAGCTTTCAAGCTTTTATTTTAGCTGTGCCACCCTTTAAGCAAAGGACCCCTGCCTGGGAAGCTTAATGTATAGGAGCGGGAAGCCCTTCCTCCTAAGGGGCTGGGAGCAAGCAGAACTGGCCCTACCCCTCAATTCACTCTTGCCCCCTATAGTCAAACCCCAGGGCCCTGCTTCAGCATAAAAGGAACACAGGGATGAAGCTGTCTAGGAGACTCAGCGACCCTGGACTCTCCCATCTTATTTCCGTCACAACCAGCATGGTGACCTTGGGGGTAAACATAAAAATGTCAATACTGATAGTGACAAAACAATCAGCAACTTACACCAATTGAGTACTTACAAGGTGCCCTATTTGCATTAATTAATCCCCCCAGTTAAAGGAGTGAGGTGCTATAATTACCAGTGTTTTACAAATGAGAAAACAGACTCAGAGGGATTAAGCAATTTGCCCAAAGGGGCCACAGTGTTGACCTGGGATTCAGAATCAAGACACGATTGATTAACCACCTTGAGCTGGACCTAGCATTCTGCGCCAGTTTGGTCCAACCATCTTGAAAATGAGGAGGTATTTATAATCCTCAGGAAAAGTGTCCTTCACAGACATTTGATAATTGTCATCGTTTCATCATAGAAGGCACAGGATATAAGTCCTCCAGACACTAATAACCTCAATGTTGAATTATCTGTCAAATAGCCCCTGTCAAATGTCTGTGTGAGCCAATTATTATTTAAAAGATGGTTTGCAGGAGGTGCCAACAACTGAGTCTTCAAAAAAATCGGTGATGTGTTATTTCAAAAGTATCAGCCAATGTAAAGTACAAACAGAGAAAAAACAAAATGAAGTTCAGTATGTGGCCAGCTAGTGCATGTGTGTAGAAACCAATAACTGCATCTGGAGCAATGAAAAGGACAGTCTGGTCACAAATGTAAATAAACTACACGTGTGACACACATTTATTAGACACCTGTGACGTGCTGCAGACCAGTGGAAGCACCGGAATGGGCCAGCAAAGCCTCCCTCAACATGGAACTTACATTCTGGGGCAGGAGGCAAATAAAAAACAAAAAAACAGGTATGAATGTAATTAGCCAGGCGGTGGTGAGAGCTGTAAAGAACATAAACAGGACACAAGGGCAGAGAGCCATGTGGTGGTAGGGGGCGATGCTATCTGACTGAGCCTCTCTGGTATGGTGACATTTCAGGAGAGATCTGATCTGCTCTTTCTGGAGGACAGCATTCCAGCAGAGGGAACAGCAAACACAATGGTCCTGAGACTGCCAATGCAGGTGGCTGAAGTGAGAGGAGCCAGAAGGAAGGTGGGAGGAGATGCAGTCAAAGCGGCATTCACGTCAGTGCATTCACAAGCACGGCTGGTCATGATGAGGACTTTAGATTTTATCCTGAGATGGGAAATCATTGAAAAGTTTTGGGGAAAGGAGTGAGGTGATTTGATTTATAGGTTAAGGATTACTCTGCTACTCTGTGAAAGACAGGCTATAAGGGGGATAAGAATGGAGCAGGACTATCTTATAGACCCTGGGGGAGCCTAGGGAGACATGCCTTATACAACGAAAACCACACAATTCAAATGGGTGAAATAAGGGCCCAAATATAAGCACAGCAATATTCTCAGGTGGATACTACTATTAGTCCCATTTTTAAGTGAGAAAACCGAGGAAGAGATCAAGCAAGTATTGATAATTTGGGTAGAGCTAGGACTCAAACCAAGTAGTCTGGCTCCTCCCTCCCACTCTGCAAAGAATGTCTTGGGAAGTCTTAGACGCCTCTCTACAACCAACACTCACACTAGTTCAGGCAGAGCAGCCCAAGGAGCCACCTTCCAGAAGGACTGTGCCAGGTTGGAGGATGAAGGAAATGGACGTAGGAGGGAGCTCTTTGTGCTGGAAGGCCAGAGGGATGAGTCTCCTGGTTTCCACACACCTACTGTCCCTTCCTCCACACCCAGTCCAGATTCTCACCTGTAGATCCTGGGCCCCGAGGATCCAGCCACACAGTTCTCCCAGAGACAGGGGATTTTGCCAGAGGCTTTGTCCTTTTCGGAAGGTCTATGTGGGGAAAAGAGAAGGCAGGAAGAGGGACTGACCCAGCACAGTGGCCTTCTTTAGGAGTCATGCATCCCTCACAGCCATCCAGGAGTGTGGTGCTCGGCTAGGGACCCTCCTCCTCCCTCTTTGCTCTCTCCCTTACCCCTCCCCCTCCCCCCTAGTCCTTGGCTGGGAGGAACAGAACTAATGACCTGAGTCAGAGTGCCTGAACCTGTGGCTCTGATCTCAATGCATAAGCCTCTAAAAGGAAAGCTTAGTAATCCACTCTCAACTTTCTTCTCCAAAGAGAACATGAGGGACCCTAATCTAGAACAGGACATGCCAATCTATGGAGCCTCTAAAAAATGAGACAATAGGCATGGCCTGTCAATTCACAGTGAAATTAAGCTCCTGGCAGATGACAGGTGGAGCACATTGTAGTGTCACCAATAACGTGGAGAAGCTTTGACACAGACAACTGCCCCCGCTCCAGGAGCAAACACCCAGAACCTTCAGTAAGTCAGAGGTATCTCTGCAGCATGGATGGAAAGCAAGAAAAATACCCCAAAGGAGTAAGGCCAGGCACCCATGCGTGTCCTGGGCTCTGGCCACACTCGGCCCAAACCTCCCTCTTCCAGCAGCAGCTCCCCATGATGAGATACAAAGATCCAAAGAAGCACACCCATCAGCAAATAAGGTGAATGACCTGTGTCAGTAAGGACAGAAAAAGATCTGGGCCCTTTCGGAAAGATGTTCAATGACAGGCTTACTCTAACCAACGTGGGTTTCTGTTGCCTCCATCAGAGAGTACATCAGCCAAACAGCCTACTGGCAGTCTTTTCCAATTAACCAGTTTTGCTGGATCTTTTCTAGAGGATATTCCTAACCAGCTTATGCAAATATTATGCCAGTTGAGATAGACAAAACAATATGGAATAAAGAACATTCTTTAGGTGATTAGGTGAGTCAGTGCAAAACTGCCTCCTGACTCCAGAGTGTACTCGAGATCAGAAATCAGCTGAGAAGTGAATTGACAGCTGCATTAGGTGGCAAAGTCTGCTGGTTTTTGAGTTTCACTCTAATAGCCCTAATAGGCTTTGAAAAATTTACAGTCAATTCAATCTCATTGCACCCAAACTTCCTTGCAGGTAGGATCTAAACAGTTACATACATGCTAGCATAGGGTACATCCATTCTGTTTTAACAGAGACCTAAGCTGTTCTACAAGTTGGTGCAGGTCTCCCCCACTATCCTAAAGTAAAGTGTTCCTATGAAACCTCCTGTAAACCAAAGTGGCATAAAGTGAAGAAGCAATTACCATTTCCATTAATTAAATGGAAAGAACTTTGAGTGTTTCCAGACCCGAATAGAAGATACCAAATGATACCAAATAACATAAAACTAAAATAGCACTAATGTGTGGTAAAAGCAGGAATGTTTTGACATATGTATGACATGATACGTATATGATATGATAGAGACAGCCTGTAGAAAGTAGTGCCCTAGGAAAGAGTCTGGCAGTGCCACTCTTGCCTGGGTGTGCACACTTTTTGTAACAGCTGCTGCAAAGCAAATATTGAAGGCTATTTTCACTTCCCATAAAAGTGGAAATCCGGGGGCCTCCCTGGTGGCTCAAGGGGTTAAGTCTCAGTACTATGAAGCTTTGGTTGCAGAATAAGTTTGATCCCCAGCCAAGGAGCTGACCCACATTGCACAGCAGACCTCTCCTGTCCTGCCCGCTGCTCCCCTCAGCAGTGTATTTCAGTAGATCCGCCTGTTCTGCTCCCCACTCTGTCTCTGGTGAATGCTTTCACCTACCCCACAACCTCTGGCCTACACCCCAGCTCTTATATACATAAATAAGTAAAATAAATCTTTTTTTAGAAAAAGTGAAAATCCCATTCGGTTTTCTTTCGGTTAATGAAAACAGGCACGAATGTAGGTCTTTGGTAAAACCAAATGACATAATGGGAACTTTAGAAAAGCAGGGGATACTTGTGCTCTTAAACAAAGAGATGGCATACACAGTAAAATAAAGTAAGTCTAAGGAGGGCTTCTCTTTGTGCCAATGAGAAAAGTAAAATGAGAGAAAAGTTTCCCGTGTGCAGAGGACAAGACAGAAGGCACCAGGGCTCCTGCCTATACCTGCAATGATGCCATCCATCTGCTCCAGGGCAGCTTCCAGCGCGTGACTAGCATCCGAAGCCATGCCTCCTCTTGCCTGCTTAGACTCCTCCTTCTCTTACTGAAAATTCAAATGCAGAACAAAGGTGAAATTACAGGGAGTTCCAGGTTACGTGTATAAGACTGCAAAGCCCTCTTATTTCATCACCATGCAGTGTGTTCTTGTAAGAATCCAAGTGGCTGATGCGCAGTCCCTGCCATGGCTACGGCCTCTCCCACCAGGTGTGAACGCTGTTTTCCCATGGAGATTTAACACAGGATTGGCTCCTGTAATGCAAGGTACCTGGGGCTCTCCAAAGTCAACTGCAGCTGGGGAACAGCAATTGCCCGGCCTTGCCATCATTACATCCCAAGTCCGGAAGCTCCACCCACCACCGGGGAGGGCTCCCTTGCACTGGGGAAAGCCTCACAGCTGAGAGGACTCTCAGGATGTGCCCCGCAGCGCAGGAGTCAGTTGTCTCATATCTGTGTTTGGGCGACGCCTGAAATGCTTTCCTTGAGCAGCTGTGATCCGGGCTCAAGGAAAACTAAAATGCAAAACAAAGCGGACTCAACTGCCACCTTGACCTCTGGAGCGGGCAGGTATGCCCAGCAGGGAAGGCTGTTTGCATGTTGTATTGAGGCGAGTACTATGGAAGGAGCCGGGAGCACTGTGTCTTGCCATGTTGGCCCCATTCAAGGTGCAGAATCCCATCGTCTCAGGGCTGAAGACTTTCCTATGCACACATAGTCCAGATACCCTTGAATGTGCAATCTCTCCTCTGAATCCTATCAAGAGTGGAGGGGAACTGCCTCCCCACTGCCAGCCCAGGCAACTGCTCCCATCTCCAGACAGCTCTGCCTCTTTAAGCTTTAAGCTAAACTGCCTTCCTGAGGTCTCCTTATTTTTCTTGCTTTCTGTCTCCTTGGGTGGCAGGGAGGGACTTAGAACAGCATTTGTAACCCTGAGAAGAGACTTAGCCCATATCTGCAAAGTAGCAGTAGAGTTGTTTGCTCATACCGCAAAACCCATGCACGTGCCCAGTGGGCAGAGGGGCTGTGACCAAACAAGGCAGTGCTCCCGTACCCCAGAATGGCACAGGTGAGGGAACACAAAGTTCTCAGGGTCTCTGCTCATTTTCCCTGGGAAGCTGGGCCTGTGACGAGAAGGACATGAGCAGCCATGGAGAGGTGGTTCTGGAGATGGTGTGGATAAGGATTTTAGGACCACAAAGAACCACCCCGGACTGTGTCAGGCCATCTTAAATCGTCTGGGTTTAAGCCAGATCTGCCAATGACCATAATCTCTGAGCCTCAGTTCCCTCATATGAAAAATGAGAATAATGACAGTAACTAACTCACAGGGTTGATACCCTGATTAAATGAGAAATTAATATTTCATAGAAAATGCTTAGTATATTCTTTTGCACAGACTGCTCAAAAGTGTTTGTTGTTGTTGCTTTAGGTGAGGAGATAATCTCAGGATGTATCTGTGCCAGGATAACTCACCAGGAGAGAAACTTCAAAATGGAGTCAGCTCGGGGAGGAAGAACCCAGATAAGCCCAAGAAGCTGGTTCCCTGGCGAAGGGAGGCCTGGCAAAGAAAGGAAAGCAACTGCATGTGTGGAGCAGGGAGGGCTCCCTCAGTGATTCATGGTTGCAAAGGCCAAGGAAGGCTCAGAAACAGAGAGTGGGCCTCCGCAGTCCGAGAGGATTGCACCATTGGCCAGGGGGTGAGAAAGGGAGTGTAAACGGGGGTGGGGGCCTCACTGGCATTGCAGGGCCTGGCAGGAGTCGGGCAAGGCTACAGCAAGGAATGGGATTACTCTGTAGGGAGAAGAGCAGCCCAGACAGCTACAGAGCAAACAGGGTAGGCAGACCTCAGGCCTGAACAAAGCAAGTCTGGGTAGAGATGAAAGAAGAGGTAGCAGAAGCAGGGTAAAAATCAGCATCTCACCCCTGTTCGGCCATACTGGATAAAAGTCTGAAATACTCCCCCCTAAAGACTTCTCACTGTTCCGAAGCAAAAATCCAAACTCCTGACGGTGACCTTTGAAAGAAGAGCAGCAGGATCTGGCTGGCCAGCCCTAGCTGGTGCTCTCCCCTGGTCAAGCACTGGTCCCCTGTCCAGTCCCCAAACACTCCAGGACCGTTTCTCCTCTGCAAGATTACACCTGTCACTCCCGAGATCTCTGTAGGGCTGATTTATTCTCTTACTTCAGACCTCAGCTCCAAAGTAGCTTCTGAGGGTGGCATCCTTGCATACCTCCACCAAAAGCAGTCTCTTAGGGCTGGGCAGTTCCACAGTATCTCACTCTTACACATGTTTCCTTGCTCATTAGCCCTGCTAACCCTCTCTATGGAGGCAGGGGGAACATGTCTGCCTGTTCACCCGATGTGCTCAGTGGCTGCCAGAGTGCCCAGTGACTAAATGATGGCCCCATGCAGCCGACAGCCCCTGAATGCTGCTGTGCTGAGGATTGGGGAGGGGGGGTGAATATTGCCACATCAGATCAAGGAAAAGACAGAAGTAGGAAGCCAAACCTCAAATTATCATGACACAGGTGCCAGATGTGCTGGGAGATAGGTATGCAGTTTCCCTGGGTCTTGAAGGATGAGTAGGAGCTTTCTCAGAAGCTAATGGGGTAAGAATGCCATTCTAGGCAGAGGGAGTAGGGCATGAAAGGTAGAAAAGCATGTACGGGCAGGATGTGGTTGGCAAATGTTACAATGGTTGATGAGATTACACGGGAGCATCCAGCTGCTCACCATTAGTCAAGCCTTTCATGGCATTCACGTAAATGTGACAGGGACAATTAATGAGAGGAGCTTGGCAATCACACCCACTACATCAGGGGTCTGGATGTATAACAAATCAAGTGACCTCAGGTGTAATCACAGAGATTTTGAAAAGGATTTCCTATTTCAGCAGACTGGCCCCATCTGGGGCTGACTACCAGGGTGAAAGGCAGTGGGTGTAGTTAGAAGGTGCCAGGCCCAAAGGGCCCAGGCTATGTCCCCCTGCAATAGATGGACCATAAAAGAAGACCCGTGGGCCCTCTGCCCAGTGAAGAGTGTGTATTTGGCAAATACACACTGGGTGGACCGTGGGAGCTGGTGTGAAGTGAAACATGAGTCAAAGCTGTATCACATCTACAACCCAGGAGCCTGGGGCCAGTGAGATCGGGAAGCTCTGGAGCTGGAGCCTGCTCTGGGCAGCTGGTGAGCTCAGTTCTAGACTGCTGGGTCTCAGGTGGTGACAGGACACCTGGTAAGAAGAGGTCCCGGCCAGCCTCTGTCACAGGGTAGCTGTGAGGTACAAGTGGTGTGGGGTACTGAATAGACCTTTGCAAATCTAAACAGGCCACAGGGATGAAGCCTCTGGCCCCACCTGGGAACACAGACACTCTTATTGGAACCAGGACGCCACAAGGCTACCAGCCATTCCCATTCTGGCAGCAAGCAACCATTCCCCCCCCCCCCGCCATTGTCTATGTCAGGGCTCCCCATCAGTAAAGTTCAATGGGTCAATTCCTGCCCTCTAGGAACTTGGCATTTCAGAGGCAAGCATGTCATTTGGCACCATTGTGTGTCCAGTGTCCTCTAGATCCTCATCCCTGAAAGGACACGTTACCTCCCACGAGAGCCTGGATTCGCAGGGATGTGGAGTGTCAGTGCACAAATCTGGGGAAGATGGGGGTTGTGGGCAGGAGGGAGCTGAAGAAGCCAGCAACTGTGTCCGGCAATAATCTAAAGGGGCTGGCAAAGAGGACCAGGATCTGGGTCAAAATCCAAAGCAACAAGCAAAGAGCAGGTGGTGGGGAAGGGAACTGAAATCATGTTCTCCACCAATGAGAGGGGCCCGACACAGCGTGGAGGACAGGGGACTACACAGTGCCGAGCAGGCAGAGGGACCGCGCTCTTAATGTGCTCAGCACAGTGACAGACGTTACATCGGAGGAAAGCCGTTCCCCTTCTCTCTGGACACCTGGGCCATGAACACAGCCCCCCATTTGACCCCGATGAGAGGGCAGGTTTCTCATACCAAGAAACTGGCTCAGCCCTAGCTACAGAGATGAGGCAGGGGATGTTGTAAGAGTTAGATCATTCATCATCCAACTCTTGACCCGCTGGTCTCTCTACATGCTCGATTTCCCGTCTGTGACTGTCTGAGGCTGGGGCTGCCGCTGGTACAGGACTTCATTCTCCTCTGTGACCCCAACCAGAGAAAAAACCCTGTAGCTGTAAAACCTGCCAGTGAGGAAGGAACAGCCATGCTCTCTGTGAGGTGACATCAAGCGCCTGGTCATAGATGTCACAGCCACACACAAGTCAGTTCAGCACCTGGAAGCTGAATATTTTGTGCAGGATTGTGTATGTCCTGAAACTAAAAAGTGATCATAATTAGCCACCCACCATCTGGAGCACTCTGCAGCAAGCAGTGACTTAGATGCTGCATTAACTACTTTCATGTTCAGTAAAGGGAAACCTGAAATAAGTAAGAACCACTGAATAACATAAGTCTTGAGCAAGTAAACCTTAACTTATCCCACCCATACCAAATTTGAAACTTCTATTCCATTTTACAAACTACAGCATGTCCTCAAATAATTTGCTTCATTCATTGTGATTTTGTTATAAACTTGAGAAAAAAAAAAAGCCTGGCATGATATTACTTGAGGACATTCTTTCATTATACTTCATTTTGCTTAATGTCAAAGTTTCCAAGAATATTAACTATGATGAGTGAGGACTTACTTTGCTTTCTCTCAGTAAAGGTGGTTTTATGATTGTGTTTTGGACAGGCTTACACCACCTTATATGGAAGAAGGAACAGTTCTAGAGTCTCCAATACCCTACTCCTTTTAGATCTCCTGTGCCTGGAAAACAGCTGAGTTGGAGCTGGGCCTGCATGCTTGAGGAGCTAGTGTCACCATACCCCATACCCCCAAGCACGAACTGGGGAAGGAACCCTCGGTTAAGAACACACCACCACAGACCTCACTCATCTAGCACCTCTCCCTTCTCCCCAAATGGCCAACAGGTGGCAAAGAACTGACTTTATCACTTAAAATCATGTTTTCTACCAAAGACAGGGGCAGTATGGCCTCCAGCAGGGGCAACCTAAAGGTACTCAAATAGGTATTTTAAGAAATAGGACTTGCTCTCCCTAAGTTCTGGAGAGATCATCATAAAAGGATATAGGAAACTTACCTCGTTGGGATAGCAGAGCAAGAAGTAATTTTCAATATCAACAAATGAAGCCGGAGGAAGACAGATACAAAGGAAGGTGACAGCCGTGCCTAAGTTCTCAATCACACCCCATATTGACCAACATCCTTTTGAAAGGACAAAGAAGAAAGAACACAGGTTTTATAGCAGCCAGTCTTGAGTTAAAGCCTGGGCTCTGCTGAATAAGGGCAAGTCATTTAACCTCTCTGAGCCTCCACCAGCTCTCTAAAATCAGCATAAAACCAATCTCATTGTTAGGGGCAAAAGTAAACAAGACACAGATTAAAGCCAAACCCCTAATTCAGTTCCCAGTAAAACAATAAAAGAGCAATTTATTTTGAGACACAAAGCCACAGGAGAAGGAGAACGAGCTACGACATTCAGGGAGGTGCAGGCCGGCTTTGCGGCACACATGGGGGGCGGCACACATGGGGGGGAAGCAGGTCCACGCGGGGGCAGCAGCTCTGGGAGAGTGTCCTTTTATGCTACAGAGGAAAGAGGATACTGGGTGCATCTGGACATCTTGACCAATTGGTGAAGAATTTGTTTAATGGCAAGGAAATAGGAAACAAGCAAATGATGCAGATGTTATCACAGCACTTAGGATGGAACCCCACATGAGACTGAAGAGAAACTGCACGGGTTGGTGGGGCTGGGGAAGAGCCTATGAGGTGTGCAGAGAGAAATGGATAGAGAGCTGACTCCTCATCTTCTAGAGCGGGAGCTCATAAGTCACTAGATAGTAACAACCGTAAAAAAATACAGTGGTGGAACAGGCCATTTTTTAACGATGTGGGTAAAAACACTTCAAGAATTTTCAGTGGCTGCGGCTGAGGAACCATGGGCGCAAGTAGCTGGGAAGGTGGTTGTTTTGACAAACCATATGCAATTATTTGACTCTTTAAATGGTGTGGACATACAGTAGTGATAAAAAAAATATTTTACATCAAAAAGATGAAGAGCATGTGTGTTGTGCCTACACCTGAGCAGAGAGGTGATGCGTGCTCCTGTCCCCTCTTGGCTACTGTATTATAGGGCAGGCATCTGTTAGCTCCTTGCTAAGAATTTATTCAACATTATCTCACTGCCCACCGCTCAAGAAGTATTCTCCCCTTTTTACAGCTGAGTAGATTCGTGTCTGAGGAAGCACTTTGCCTCTGGAAGGGGAACCCAGCAGAGGGTTTGAGCACAAGAGGACTTAACTTGCTTTTTTAAAAGGATCACTTGGCTGCTGCTTGGAAAATGGACTTGGGGGTGGTGAAGAGGATTGCAAGGTGAACACAGGAAAACCATGCAAGAGATGAAGGTGCTTGGGCCAGAATGACAGGGGTAAGGGCTTTGTTTTTTTTTTTTTAAAGATTTATTTATTTATGCATATAAGAACTGGGGTACAGACCAGAGTGCAGGGGGTGAGGAGAGGATTCACCAGAGACAGAGTGGGGAGCAGCAGGCAAGACAGGAGAGGTCTGCTGCGCCATGGGGGTAGCTCCCTGGCTGGCCGGGGCTAGAACTTGTGCTGCAGAGGCTGCAGATAGCTTCATAGGGTTGTGCTTAACCCCCTGTGCCACCAAGGAGGCCCAGGGCTTTGATTCTTGATATACATTGAGGACAAAGCCAGAAAGGCACACTGATAGACTGGAGGTAGCCATGAGAGAGCAGAGTCAAACCTGACTAGGGGTTTTTGTCCTGAGTCTTTAGGAGAGTGGCGTGACTGTAGGGGCAACAATGTGGGATGTAGGGGGTTGAAGGGGCTAGAGACTGTTTTCGAGATAGTTCAGATCAAGAGGTCAGGAAGATATGCTGAGGCAGCATTTGAAAATAAGGGCCTGATGTTCACTGAGCTGTGGGTTGGAGATAACAATTTGGGAGCCATGTGCATAAAGATGGCATATAAAATAACTGCATGAAGTTGCTAAAACAAGAAGGACAGAAGCAGTTCCAGGGCCCTCAGGTGCACTGCAGGTGACATGGTGAGGAAGGAGACGCCACAGACACTGAGCAGCAGCAGCCAGGCAGCCTGAAAAACAGTGTCCCGGACACCTAACCAAGGGTCAGGATGGAGGCACCACTGGGGTGCCGCGTGCTGCTGAGTCACACCAGAGACTGTCTTCTCTCCACACCTGCTGGAGGTGAGCTCACCTGTTCCCACAGCCTCCTCTGCCCTGCATGACCTCACCCCAGACATTGCAACAGCCCCTAACTGGCTGCCCCGCCCCCAGGCAGCTCTCGCCATTAGACTTACTTATCTCAATCCTGCTTTAAAGCAGTGGTGTATCCCAGCGTCACCTGGAGAACTGAAGGGCACAGAGGCCTAGCCTCAGCCAAGCAGAAGACAGCGGACCTTTGCCTCGCATGCTCACCTAGCTCCTTGGGAGCTCTGATCTTGACCAAAGTTGAAGAACTGCTTACTGAAGGCAAACACAGCTTAGAAAGTCTCAGAGTAGAATCCATGCCTTTTACCACACTTGAGTCCCTTCCAGACAATTCTAGGAAACCGTGCTTAATTCTGCCCACCTACATGTGATCTCCCATGTCACTGATTCGCAGGGAAGGGATGAATGTAGCTGTGCACAGCCATCTCCCTGCAACGCTTCCATGCCTGAACATCCCATACTAAGTCTGGAAGAAACTTGCACAGATTTCCTGATGACCCCAAACTATTCATGGTCGGCAAGAAACTAAGCCCTGATAGATGGTAGAGTCGAGAGGCTGCAGCTAGAGGTCCCACTTCCCCTCCACGTGCTACCAGCAGCCAGTTACAATAAATGGGGCTCCCCATCTCACCTCAGGGAGGCCACCGGTCACCCAGCCAAGGCCTGGAGTCACCCCCGGTCTTCCCTCACCCACATCCAGCTGCTCCCCATGTCCAGTAACATCTCCTTCTTTATGCTCTCAGATCTGTCCCTGCTTCAGGCCACATCATCTCCATCAGAATGATTGCAAAGGGCTTCCTGACCATCTTTCTCCCTGCAGTACCCCCGCCCACCACACACACACACCCCCCCTCTCATCCTCCACGCATGCGTGATTGTCAGAAATCTAGCCAGTACCCCCACACCTGGACAATTCCTCAGCCGCTTCCTATCACCCAGGGAACACCCAGAGAGGCAGTTAAGGACCCATGAGACACGTAGGAGCATGCACTTAAGAGTCAGCACCTGGACCCACATTCTTCCCATCACAGGCTGTGCCCTTGACAAGTTCCTTAACAACACTGAGCTTGATTTCTCTATTTATAAAACACGATGAAAATACACACATGTGTATTCAATGAGATGATGTATGTGGCAGTCCCCTGCATATACATGGGTAGGACTTCACAACTATGAAGTGCTAATTTCCTCAGCCATACGGAGCCCGCCCTAAGCACCATTATTCTAGCTATTTTCATCCCATCTGCTTTTACTCTGAGGGACCCTCATGGGTGGTGGGTTAGTCCAAGCCCCCTTCCTATTTGCTCAATCCCCACTTCCGTTTCAACGTCCAACCCCAGGATCAAGTCCAAGAATCGTCCTCCTGCAAGTGGTGGAAGTGACTGCTCCAGACTCAGTCCCCCCTGTACTCCCACAACAGACCCCTCCCAGCGCCTGGAGTTCTCTAGAGCCCCAGCTGCTGACTGTGTGCGACTCCTTTGCCTAGGGGGTAAGTTGAGCCCAGAGCTCAACCTAGGAGCTGGCACAGAGAGGGTCACCACCTCACATATGTTGAACGGATAAAGCTAGAGGCTGACTGGGGCAAAATCCCTCCCCATCTGTAGACCTGTGAAGCCAGAGTGGGCCCGTGCAGGATAGGCATTCCCCTTCCAAAAGGGAGAAAAGGATGGAATAAAGAAGCCCCTGGTCTAAAGTAGAAAGAGGCTCCCGTGGACGGCAGGCAAGTCTGCCTGGGGTCGCAGGCTGTGCGTAGGACCCAGAGGCCTGCCTGAGGTCCTGTGGCATCCTGAGGTCTTTGTCCAACAGGGAGAACCTGGCAGGGAAGGGCAGAAGCAGCACACCTAGTGTTGGGGTGACAGCAGGACTCACAGACACCAACTCTGTATCAGGACTGAAGGACAAGGCCCCAGGACAGAGGAGCCTGACACAGAGACATCCTTTTGTGGCAGAGGAAGCACAGCAGGCAGAGGGAGCAGCAGGCTGAGAAGGCTGCAGTCAGGTGCCTTCCGTGACGTCAAGCACGGGGAGGCGGGCTTTGAGTCTTACCGTCTCCGAATAGAAGCTAAAGTAGCCGAAGAGAAACTGGGCAGGAGAAAATGAAAGCATGGCCCTGAGGAGAAGGAACACGCTTCCCACATCCCCAGTCGCGCTACCAGCCCTCCTAAGAGCAAACATTTGTTAAGAACTTTCAGCTTCAGAAATGGTTTTCACATTCAAGGCTTCTCACTTCCACCTAAGCTAGATCAGGCTCCTCTGGTTAATTAGCCAGTTAAACCGCGAGCCGCGGAGGCAGAGATCCTCCCAACTGCTGAAGGGCCGTGAACCCAGCACAGGCTGGCAGTGCCGGTGGCAGCAGGCGACAAATGCAGTATTTCTTGCTTAGCATCTTTTCCCGCTGTGCCAGGTTAGTGAGTTGTCTACACTGGGCATTTCCAGCCACTCCCTGTCAGGCAAGTTCCAAAAGATCCAGAAGAACATTTGTTCTGGAGCTCTGTTCTCGTGAACCTGCTGGAAGGCTTCCTTTTCCTTCCAGGCCCCTCCATTTAAAACCCAGCCCAACCTCTGTCATATGTCACTACCCTTCCACCAGCCTCCTCTGGCACATCCACACCACACCCAGATGCTTCCACTTAAGCACTTACCCAAAAAGCTCAAGCCCTTCTCACCAAACCACAGCCCTTCAAACAAGGCTCTGTGACCCCCAATAGCACTTCCACTAACATATAATAATAGCAGGGCGCTCCGTCACATAGCTCAACACCGTCCGTTAAAGAACATGACCAATAGCACCAGGTACTGGCACCTCACCTCCAGGTGACGGGAGTCTGGACTTCCTCCAGGCTTAGTTGTTCTTGCGACTCAGACGCAGGAGTGACATCCTCCCCGGTGCTTGAAATGGCAAGCTTCTTATTAGAAACACCACCCCCAAAGACTTGAGTATGAGACACCAAAAGCCCAGCCCACAAGGAGGAGCACAGGGTCTGCCTAAGGAACAGAATGGGTGTGAGAGGCTGAGGTTGTCCTGGCTCACACCCAAACTGCACATCTGACCTTCTGGGCTTCAGGAACACAGAAGAGCTGATGGCAAGTTTCCTTTGAGTTCTCCGCTTAATATTTTTAAATACTTTTTTTGCTGTCCTCTGCCTTTTCTGACCTTATTTCTGCTCTTGATTTTGCGCCCCCTACCTGGTTCCACTTTCCCAATTCAAGAGCTCCCAGTAGTACAGAAATCACAATATTCTCATGACCAAAGTCATGGGTATCAACACGAGCTCCCAAGGAGTGGAAGGGGCACCTCTCAAAAGGGGCACCTTTTGAGGGCACCTGAGACGAAGCATACAGGTTTCCAACAAGGAGAGGGGTTAGGGTGAGGTAGAGAAGCCTGTGGGAAGAGTGATACAGAACCAGAGAGTTTCCAGGGGACAAAGCACCACCAAGCCCCCAATCAGTTTGCCCCTTAACACTGTGCTCAAGACAAGTACATCTGGATCCTTACCAAGCTGGGGCTCGCTATAGCCATGTAGAGAATTTGGAAGAAAAGGTTCTTCCCTTTCTGATAGTCTCAGAAAAAGTAGGTGTGAGCAGTAAACATAAATGAGTGTCCCCTTCGAGGCTGAGACGTGAAAACAACAAACACCCCACACTCTGGCAGACTAGCTGATGCCGCCCAAGCCCCATGGCTGTCCACGACACCACACGTGGCTTGGTGACCCTGCAATTTCCACCTGTCTGTAAAAGCTGCCTGCTCTGGGACCTCACAGAAGACTTCCTCTTCTCTACAGCAACAGAGAAAAGACAGTTCCCATCTCTTTTAATCTTCCTGGATATCCAGTGAGGGATGATTATATCCACTTCCCTATATTTTATATATTTATTTTTTATAATTATGCGCCCACCCTGAGACACCAGGTTGTTGAGGCACTGCCCAAGGTCACAACTGCTGAAAGTCTGCCCCTGGAGTCAGGTTTGCCTAACACTGAAGTCCCTCCCCACTTGGTCCCCCACAATCGCCTTACCCTGTAGATTTGTGCAAAGCATCAAAAGTTGGGAAATAGGCCAAGACACTTTCTGCTAAGCACTCCTCTGTACCTCTTATCTTTCTGGGGACTCCCCCACCCCCCAATCCCCTCCAACTCTGTCTCAAAGTAATATTCAACTTGGAAAAAAGATACACAGAATAGAAAATTGTCACAAAATGAACGACCCACAAAAGTAATATATTAATATTATACATTTAACAAATACTACTTGCCCCCTATTAGCTATAAAAGCCTGCATGGCTTTTACATGGGAAAAAAAGATGAGTGTTAAGACAAAGTCACTGATCTCTCAGGACCAAAAATTCTCTCATCCATATCAATTAGAATGTGAGGTTCGCAAGTAGAATTGAGTTGCTTCTCGGATCCATCAGTCAAAGCCAACAAACTTTGGCTTTTGCCAAAGTTCAGAAACTCATAGATTGATTAATTAATGGTCAAACTGTAAAGCAGTCATGGTATTGCTCTGTGAGAAGAAAAACATCACTTCCCTGAAATCCCCATCATCTCTAAATTAAGTTCAGATGGCAATTAACTGCTAATGTCAAGTTTACAATGTCACCAGCTCAGCCAGCAAGTCACATGTGAAACATCACAGGAAAGTTAGTTTCAAGGACAAACTGAGTTTCAAAAATCAAGCATTTGCTGACCATTTTATGGATAATAAGGCTCACCCCATCACCCATTCATTCAAGTCAATGAAGAAATTCAAGGGGAAGATGGCAGGTGCCTGGCACCATGGAGGTCCTGGGGAGCCTGAGGGGGGAAAAGAGCAACAACACTGTGCAAAGCGCACTCCGGGAGAGAGCAGCAACCTCAGGAGAGTGACCAGTGCCATGTGAGCAATCCTAAAAGGCTTCATGGTTCAGGTGAAATTTCTGCAGGTGGGGACCAGAAGGAGTAAAGAACATTTCCAAGGTATGAAAGAACTGGAGTGGGGAGTGGGGAGCACACATAGCCTTGTGTGGTCAGAAAGTGAGGAAACAATGATGAGGAGCAAATGAGGCTGAGACCAGGTGGTGAAGGGTCTCTCACCTCATCTAGCCCAAGAACTTGGCCTTGATCCATCAGCCAATAGGAACCACCGTAGAGAGCTACCTGGAGCCTTCCACTCTTCTACAACAACAACGCAGAAGGTTGTGGGCACTTGAGAAAAGCTTTGCTCGCAGGACTCTGAAATCCCCTCCCCCAGAATAACTGCCTATGGCAGCCTGTCCCCTCCACCTGCCCACTTCAGGAACCCTCCTATGTCTTCTCACACTTCTGTACCTCAGTATCCCCTTCCACCACATCCTAATTCTGGAAGGTGAGGAGGGGGCCTTGTGACGCCAAGTCCCATCAGCACACAGAATCAGCACCTGAGCCTCCACCTCCCGCCATCCCCCTCCCAGGTTCAACTTGCCCTGGGCCTCCCCCTGCCTTGGGATGCAAATTCAAACATCCCATCTTCCCTCTGCTCCGGAATGCCAAGCCGTGCACACAGTGCTGTCAGACACACATGCACCCAGGCCTTTAATTGCATGCTTCCTTCCTATCAGGCGCCTCCTTAGCAAACCACCAAACATCTTTCTTTGGTGAGAAAAGGTCTCCCTCAATTCCCTTTCTCTAACTTCAAACCTCCCCTCTGCCCCTTGATCCCCTGATCCCATCAACTCTGGGGCCCAAGCTCTCAATTACTCCTCCTCTAAGCTGAATCTGCATCTCTCACCCTCTTGTGCTCCTTCCTTCCAACCCAACAA